ATTCTATGAAGATATTCTCGGAAGTAACCATGACCGGTGAGGAATTATTTCATTTCAGATTATTCCGTTTCTTAATCGAACATTTTTTATATGGAGAAAATGAACGACACCTTCAACAAAAAAATTTTTGTCAAAAATCATTGGTAAGTCCAAGCTACCTCAGACTTGCACTTCATTATAATAAAATTGAATGGGCTAAAGAACTGCATACTCAACTTTTTTCAAAAGAGTGTAATTAAGAAGAGCCATATTTTAATGAAAATTTGCAGAATATTCTTTACCTTTGCACAAGGTTTGGAGCTCTGATTTTGGGGTTTATGTTATAGAATTAACCCTGTGTTGTATAAAAACTTTGCGAAAAATAAAATAATTAAAAAAATAGTTGCCCGTATTGCAAAAAAAAAATCGCTGTACCTAAATTTTATTGATTGACTGTATAAATATTTCTGCGTGCTCTCTAATAGCTTTCGTTTGATACCCACATTATTAACTTTAACTTAAATTTTTTATAAATTTTATTTTTTAGATATTGAAAAATATTTAATTTCCTCGAAAAAGTTACCAATTCACCACAATATTGAACATTTTTATTTATTTGGAAATGTTTATTCTTATGATAGCTGGCAACTTTATTTAAAATTTTTCCTGTAATGAAATCTGATTATATTAATTGACTTTTACATTTGTTTTGGTTTTAATTATGATAAATAGTAGCCATCCTGTTCAGAAATAACTTTGTTTTGATATTCATATTCCCGTTTATTTTTTTGTTAAGTTAAGTAACTAATTTATTTCTTTTTGACGGATGGCAACCTCGTTAAAAATTTTTTCCGGACGAAATAATATTTGGTTTGGTACTCAAACAGACAAAAATATTTCAATGTTTTACTGCTATATATAATTCACTAATTTATTTTAATTCAGTGACAACTCTTCAAAATATCTCCACATTTTAATCTTTCAAAAACAGGTTACACATGATTTAAGAATTATCTGTTGTTTATTGAAATTTTCCTTTTCAGTATGTCATTATAGGTCTAGAAATATGTATGTAAGTATATCCAAAGGCTTTTTAAAGATCAGTCGTTATAGCTTTCTTTGTAGTCAGTTCAGCTGCGATTAACGCCCAGATGGTACTAGGATTTTGAAGAGATGTAATCCCTTAAAATTTTCTGTGCGGATAAGATATCTAGCTTGGTCTAAGTTTCACGGGAGGGGCTGACTAGATTGGAATTAGGGCTGGGAGTTCTATCCGGAATTTTTCATATCCGGATATTCGAATATCTGATTAAAAATCCGAATATGCGGACGTCAAAATAAATAGCTATTAACCGAATAACCCAGTATCTCGATTTTATCCGTATGCATGAATAGTCCTAGCCCTGGTTGGAATGGGTTAAATACATGTGGGGATAGGCACTTTCTACTGTGGTCGCCAAAAGTTACGGATGGGTTTAAGAACTTTAGGTTATAAGAAAGTCTTTTGCCGGGCATCAAATGTCAATCTGGGGCCACCGAGAGAACTCTTGAGAATATCAGTTCGCCTAACCTAACCTATGCAGCCAGGTTATTCAGTGGGTTACCTCTATACACAAAATATTGAACAGATTCCTCGCCAAGTTTCAAGTTAATTGCTGCGACTGTCTATTCTAAGAGAGTCAGTCTAGTTGTTCGAACCGGGCAGGTAACCATCAAAGTTGCTTAAATATTAAACATCCTTCCTCATATTTAATCATTAATTTTTCCTTATGTCTCTACCGCAATACTTAAATCTATATCCTCTTATCGTCATAGGCATTTGAACGTCTGGTCAACTAAGTTCCTAGACGGTACCGGTTTTGTGGCGCACTTGAGATTTTCCTAAAGAAAAAGTTCTTTATTCTAAACAATTCTTTCCCCACGTAGATCAGTTTGGGTCGGCCCTTTTCTGATTATTCTATTCTATGCCCGCAAAGAATCCAAGCTTTCTTTAGATGAGAAAGTGCGCAGAATCGGTAAAAAAGTACTGACATTTCATATAGAAGAGGCGCACCCGCATTAAACTCATAATTTTGGAAGTAAAAAGGAAACAAATTTTATTTTATTTTATTTTATTTTATTTTATTTTATTTTATTTTATTTTATTTTTTTTATATCTATTAAACAGTTTTTATTATGTCTTTTCTTAATGTTTCCGGGGAAATTCGAAATACATTTTATCCATTTACACGTCTGCGTACATTAGCACGTCTTCGGTTAGCAACTCGGTTAGCAACTCGGTTAGCAACTCGATTAGCGGCCGCAGTTCCTGTAACGGTATTGCCTGCATTACATCTGCCACTGTATAAGTAACGTATACGAAGGGTAGCTAAAAAAGAAAGAAAAAAATATATATATTACAAACCATACGTCCTTTTTTTTCTGCTTTAGGGACTTTCGTAACACTTTTCCCACTTACACAAAGTACCCCTCCTGCGGGCACAGCGTCTATTCGCTCTCAAAATGCAAAGGTTTTCGAAGGTGCGACGTCTGCCATTGTACGTGCCACAAACTGGATTATAGTTGTGGGTGCAGGTGTTGGTACATGTCACACTGGTCGTTGCTGCAGTAGTCGTTGTTGATGCAGTAGTCGTTGTTGATGCTGTTGTAGATGTTGATGTTGATGTTGAAGTGGTCTGCTGATAGGACAACGACACTAAGGCCAACAAGGCCGACAACAGCAAGTAAATACGCATCCTGATTCTTTATTATTTTTTATTCTAACTTTTTAGGAAGTGAAATTCGAGCGCACGCACCTATTTAGACGTTGCGTAAAATTGACTACGCTGGATTCGTGAAAATTTGGGATTTTTATACTCGAGGTTTTGTTTACTTTATCAACCGTTTTATTTGTGCAGTTGCGCACGTCTTAGCAAAGAAATATTTTGGCATATTTTACAAATTTTGCCTCACTTAGGGCCAAATTCACAGCGCGTAGTTAGCTCGGGATCCGCAGTTAACTACAGATTTTCAGTACAAAAATCTGTAGTTCACTGCCGATTTTGAGTTAACCACGCACTGTGAATTCGGCCCTAAGTGAGACTAAAGCAATTAGTTGTGCGTCAATTATATTGCTTAAAAAAAAAAAAAAAATAGGTTGAGTAAATACAGTTTGCTAACTTCCTTAAACTTCACCTTCATTAAAGATGTACTGGTACTATTTTCTCTTATGTTTACTTAAAAACAATTATTATTTATAAATTGGGAAGCGTAGGTTGGGTGCGTTTAACCGACAAGGAACGGCAGTAGATAATGGTTTGGATTAAAATACCATATGTAGCCTTTGTCGTGTTAAGCGTCTTCAAAGCCACAATGGCTTCGCTCAGTGGAGACGACTTAATTAGAATGAGATGTGATTGCAGCCACCTCAAGCGAAAGACCAAATACGTTGGACTTTAAACCTACTTACAGGATAATTTTGGATTGGTGAAAATAGTGCTCAATGGCTAGTGAGCTAGTCCAATAATAGACTACGTACAGTCTAAATCATGACAGGATTCTGGCTTTGGACCTAAGATGTCATTCGAACTTGTGTCAATCCTGTGAAGATAACCCCGGGGGTTTTTAAAGCCGACTATATTCCAATCAGAGATAGTGGTTTTTAAGTGGGGACTCATCAGATAAAATGGTTAAAAAAAATACCATTAAACTAGTGCTTCTAGAGAAGTCTTAAACTCCACTTGCCCAAAAACACAGCGGGCGAATGTCAAATAAAGAATATCAATGAATCAGAAATCGACTAAGTATCACCATAGCACTCTCAGAAAGTAATTTAAGCGAAAGATCTGAGTTGAAGATGAAGGATCTTTAAAGAAATGTCAAACGACAATAAAAAAGTGCAAAACACTATGTAGAGACACAAATTTGTGGACTTTGAGAAAAAAGACAGCTTATCGTAGCTAGAAGAAATGTTGGTAATAATTGGCAGGTCTCGGCAGACCTAAAATCTGACAGAAATAGAAGGGAGGCAAGCCACTTTAACTTAACGAAATAAGAAGCAAACTGATAGCACCTTTACACGCTAGTTACCTCGCAGAGGCTCAATTCAAGGACAATTGGTATGAAAGCAGAGTTGTTTTTTTTAAAGCAATGTAAGCTTACCAACAACCATCAATAAGTAACGAATTAAAAAGTCAACACTTTGTACCAAAAGGGGAACGTATTTATGAACCCAGGGGTTACAGCTATGCGGAAGTTCACCGAGCCTAAACCCAAACGAAGAAGATTATGAGACCATGATGATTACAAAGACAAAGTTGGAAACACTACTACTGGTGGCACAAAAAAAGTCTAGGGAGAATTACTTTGCGGTTGTTGAGATCTGAGCTGGAGCTGACTTTCGGGTTACCTAAAAGTAGTGAGTTGAACCTGCTATATCGTAAGGTTTTCGACTACACTGCACTTCTTAGTGATAAGTAATATAACTCCTGGAGACATCGCAGCTCAAGTAAGAAGAGGAATACTATAAGCAGAGTCGGATACCGCAACCAAGAAGAATGAATGAATAATATCCCGCACACCCTTGGGTGGAGACAATAACTTCGTGGAAAAGTTACTCCGAACGAAACATTGGCACCTCGGTGGGAATGAGATCGATAGTGCTTTATAATTAGAGACATATGTACATATGTACAAGGCCACTCTGAAGTAATGCGGAAGCAGTTTTAGAATAGGTGATGTTTCCTATACGGCGGAAGGTTTTTCTTTTTTAATGATAATAATATTTCGAAGGCTAAACTTTGGTATTTGGTCGAGCTTCTTCTCTATTTTGGGGTGTGTATCTTGATGATGCTAGACATATGATCTAGGATCTATAGTTTCACACCGGCTCCGAATGACAAATTGACTATGAGAACCTTTCTCATGACAGAAATACAATCGGAGTTTTCCCATTGCCTATCGAGCGGCGTTCGCTGTTAGAAAAGGCTTTTTCTAATTTAGATGTTGCTCGGTCCTCTGGTTTTGGGGAGTGTTGCTGGAGTGACAGTGCTTGGCCAAATATAAATCTGGGTCGTTCCGGTTACGCAGACCCGACTGTCGTGGGAACGCTGGAACCGAGGTCCGAAAGAGTGGTAGTATGCACCTCAGAAGTAACGTGTAAAATCACCTCAATCATAAAAATTTTAGTTTTGTTTAACTTTTTTTTATTTAGTGCTATTTAACTTATGTAAATATGTATGTATATTAGACCGTTCGTTATTTTAACTATTTTTTTAAATATACAGTTTGCCGGGCTCAAAAAGATGTATTTTGGTCTAAAAATAAGCTGTGCAAAATATTATTCGAATATGATAACTCTAAGTACTTGCGCGTTGCATTTGAAAATTTAGAAAACCATATGCATTCTGGGAAAAAATTTTTTAACAAAATAGTTGAAAGTCGTGAATTTTATAGTCATATGCCATGTAAAATAACGTACACAATTTGAATATGAGGTCAAAAATTAAAAAAAGTAGAATAGGTTTTAAGAATTTGCGAAATTATCGTTTTTTTCAAATTGAGAAAACAGCATTTTCAATTTTTACCAAAAATATCCGGTTGTGATTATCACACCACAAAAAGATCTCCACCAGATTAAAGGTCTTTGAAATCCCTACGAACCTGCTATACAATGTTTTGCAATCAAATTATTAGTTTAAGAGTTATCTGCCAATTTATTAGTGGAATCGGACTCAATTTTAAGTCGCATCGTTATTCTACTGTGAATTACACCTAAAAGCTGCAAACTTTTTGTTCTTATTTTTATGCTATGTTAAAGCTTATTTGATTTCAAAGTATATAGATCCAAATTTTATGCAAATCGATTTGAAAATAGAAAAGTTATAGCAAATTTAGTAAATGACATTGGATTCAAGCAACGTATCGATACTGTACAGCACATTTGATTGTAAAATAAATTAAAATCTCATTTCCAGTGGCATGTTATGCACATCACAATTAGAAAAACAGCTGACAATAGGTTTGTTTCATTAAGCAATAGTTTTAAATATTTTTTAACAATTGTTACAAATTATCATGCTTTGGCTAGCAAAAAAGTTGATAAAATAAGATACATTGAGATAGCAAAATAACATTTGATTTTTAGATAAGGTTTGGAAGTTTCTGCGGGATACATTTATACTTGTAAAACTGAAACAATGGTACTTATTGAATGTATTATGTATTTATATTATGATCCTTATTTTCAAGTAATACTACGCTCAAAATAATGTCTAATAACCGCTTGAAAAGCTCATCTGGTCAACCTAGTGCCCAGTAGCCAAATTCAATAAAATGTGGCCAAATTTGATAAGAAAAGAATATTTCAGAGAAAGCTTGTAAAAAATAAAACTATATTTCATGATTTTTTAATAAACAAGTGCCGATTTATTGTGTGATGTATATTTTTTTCGATATGCTTCTACAAATTGAAGCACCAATTGTTTTTGCTCCTAATTTTTTGTCAATATTCGATTGTAATCTTTCATAAATTTAACACCCCGCTCAGCTGTGTCATTTACAACGAATAAATCTCGACAAAATTCGAGAGCGTCTATGTAATCTTCATTTTTTCCCCATTCGGATGGATCCATCCGTACGAAGTCAGAAGACAAACCAAAGGCAACGAAGAAATTTTTAGTTTTGTAGGACACGAAATCTCTAATAGTTTTGCCAATCAAGAGAACGGGATTTGAAATTACTCTATCTTCACCATTTCTCGTTTTTCCTCCACTGGCACATCATTATCAAAAAACGCTAAAGCTGTTGTCTCCGGCATTAAGTACCATAAATGACTTGAACTTTTTCAAAACCGCATTGGATACCACTGCATCAGTTTGGGCGTACTCAATTGCATTTTGTAAAAATTTTAAATCTTGCATTGGAGCCTTAATGGGATTTGTGCACTGGTACCAAGCTTTCATAACTATAAAGGCGAATGAGGAAAATGCAAATATCTCGTAAACTATTAAATTCTCTTGGCATCAGTTTGAACTGTTCTCGAAAAAGAAATATCTTCAGGCAATAAATAGCTTTCGACATAAACCGCGCATGGGATGTTGGACCGCATGTTCGAAAATCACCACTAGTACCACCTAGAAAAGCAAATGCTAGCTGAAGCAGCGATGGGAGTAACGTGTAAAATCAACGCAATCATAAAAATTTTAATTTTGTTTAACTTTTTTTTTTATTTATTTAGTGTTATTTAACTTATGTTTGTAATTAAGTAAATATGTATGTATATACATATTTGTTTTTCGATAGCTGGATCGTCACTATCTTGACAAACTTTGCGCAGTTGTATCTTAACGAATAGTCAATAGTCTACTAAAGTTAGTAACGTATGTATGTAAGTAAGTGTATACGAGTATGAAGCAACTCAAAACTGGAGTCCTTTGTAAGATGTCTTTTTATAAAGCTCAAATAAAAATTGAAATTTTAAAAGATAATGCTTACATTTGTTGCGGAATGACTCTAAGAAGGTATCTCTTTGTCAACGCCATAAGTATCTTATCTCAATCGAAACTTTTACATTCAGATTCACTCCTTTTCTTTCCTTTGCCCCAAAATCGGAAAGTTGAAGAGTCGACGGGAAGTTTTTAGGCCGACGCCACTCAAGAGTATAACACATACATACATATGTATTACCCGATGTGTATTACCCGACAAAGTGAGTAAAGATAGTTCAATATTTCCTTAGCAAGAGTATATGTACCTGCGGCCACTGGGGAAAGGAAGCCCACTACATGTACATATGTATGCGCTATCATTGGAATGAGATCTATAGAAACTTTTAACTGTAAATGAAGTGATGGGAGTAGATAAATACACCAAGGACGGAACCTCTAGACGAAGTCTTACTAAATCACTAGAAATTCATGTAATTAAGGCTCGCATGTCGGCCGCTTATCAACTTTTTGCCCAAAGGCAGATGTTGGCGGTTAAGAAAGAGCAC